GATGATTCGAGAGAAGTACTATCCCACGTACTACCGAGCTGAGATGGAGCGACAGTTTTTGTCGCTCAAGCAGGGTACTCGTACTGTTGACGAGTACGAGAGAGAGTTTACCAGACTCCGAGCTTTCGTTCCGGATTTGGTGCGTACTGAGGCACAGCGAGCACAGCATTTCACTAACGGGCTTTTCCCAGCAGTCCGTCATAATATTGTAGGTCACAGAGTCCAGACCTACGCTCGTACCGTTGCCATTTCCCAGGAGGTGGATGCCAACATTCGAAGGGAGGCGAACCATGATCGACTACAGTCAGTTACCCCTGCCCAGTCATCCACAATTCCGCCGACTGTTGTCCAGCCACCGAAGAAGAACAAGAGGAAAGAAAAAGGTGCCTAGATGGACAGGAGGACCCGACAGAGGCCGCAACAGATTCCACATTGCCCCACTTGCGGACGACTTCATCGCGGCGAGTGTCACATGGGCCAGGATATTTGTTACTATTGCCACGAGCCTGGACATTTCGCTAGTCGCTGTCTGAAGAAACTCCAGCAGCAGCCACAGCAGCCCCAGCAGCCACAGCAGCAGCAGCAGCCTCGACAGCAGGCCCAGAGACCACCACAACAGCAGAGGGGCACGCAGCAGGCCCGAGTTTATGCGGTTGATCAGGCAGAGGCAGAACGACACCCAGGTACTATGTCTGGGATGCTTATGCTTAATGACATTCCTGTCTTTGCCTTATTTGATACGGGAGCAACTCATACTTTTATATCACGACGATGTCTCGATACCATCGGAGTTCATGTCACTACCGCTGTCGATCCTCTCGATGTGAGTTTAGCCTCGGGACAAAAGATAGTGACTTCAGCCAGAGCCACAGATCTCAGTCTCTCCATCGGTGGTCGTATATTGCTTACCGATGCGTATGTTCTCGAGATGAGGGATTTTGACCTCATACTTGGCATGGATTGGCTAACGCGTTTTCATGCAGATATCCGATGTCACGACCGGGATATTACTCTTTTTCTTTCGGGAGATGATCAGATCACTTTCTTCAGTACTAAGACTCATTTCTTGCCCCATGTCATTCGATGGCGAAAGCCAGAAAGATGTTGCGACGAGGTAACTGTCAGGGTTATCTCGTCAGCCTTGTTGATGATTCTCCGAAGGCACGCTCACCTCATGATGTCCCTATTGTTCGGGAGTTTGTGGACGTGTTTCTGGACGAGCTTCCAGGAGGACCGCCTAACCGGCAGGTGGAGTTCTCCATTGATCTTATTCCAGGGGCCGGTCCAGTTTCTAAAGCACCCTACCGTATGGCGCCGAAGGAGTTGCAGGAGCTTAAGGCGCAAATTCAGGAGTTATTACGACTCGGTTTCATTCGGCCGAGTGTTTCACCTTGGGGAGCACCCGTTCTCTTTGTCAAAAAGAAGGACGGATCCATGCGCATGTGTATCGACTACCGGGATCTGAACCAGTTGACGATCAAGAACAAGTACCCTCTTCCCAGGATTGATGATTTATTTGATCAGCTGAGGGGAGCTTGTGTTTTCTCTAAGATTGATTTGAGATCCGGCTACCACCAGCTGAAAATCAAGGAGTCAGACATTCCCAAGACTGCTTTCCGTACTCGTTACGGTCATTACGAGTTCATTGTCATGCCATTCAGCCTCAGCAATGCCCCTGCAGTATTCATGGATCTTATGAACCATATTTTCCATCCCTATCTCGATCAGTTTGTCATTGTTTTCATTGATGATATCCTTATCTACTCAAAGAGCCAGAAGGAACATGAGGAGCATCTTAGGGTTGTTCTTGAGACCCTTAGACGAGAAAAGTTGTATGCAAAATTCTCCAAGTGTGAATTCTGGCTCCGACGAGTAGCTTTTCTTGGTCATTTGATTACACAGGCAGGTATTGAGGTCGATCCTTCCAAGGTAGCAGCCGTTCAGAACTGGTCGACACCAAAGAGTCCGTCTGAGGTTCGCAGTTTTCTCGGCTTGGCTGGTTATTACCGCAGATTCATTGAGAGCTTTTCCAAGATTGCTCTTCCTTTATGCCAGCTGACGAGGAAGTCTGTAGAGTTCGAATGGACTGATCGTTGTGAAGCGAGCTTTCAGGAGCTCAAGAGGAGATTGACTTCAGCACCGGTGTTGACTATTCCCGATCCTTCTCGGAGTTTCACCATCTTTAGTGATGCTTCGAGGCAGGGTTTAGGATGTGTCCTTATGCAGGATGGCCAGGTCGTCGCTTATGCTTCATGCCAGCTCAAACCCCATGAACAGAACTACCCGACACACGACTTGGAGCTTGCCGCTGTTGTTCATGCTCTCAGAATTTGGCGACATTATCTCTATGGCAGTCATTGCGAGATTTTCACTGATCATAAGAGCCTGCAGTACATCTTCACGCAGAAGGAGCTCAACATGAGGCAGCGCCGCTGGTTAGAGTTGGTTAAAGATTATGATTGTACGATTCAGTATCATCCGGGAAAGGCAAATGTTGTTGCTGATGCCCTAAGCCGAAAGGTGAAGGGTGACCTGACGTATGTTGTTACTCAACAGAGCCAGTTGATTCAGGAGTTTGCCCGGATGAAAATTCAGGTGGTCGACGCACTCCCTACAGTTCTCACGGGGAGTGTCAGTTTCATGCAGGTCCAGCCGACGCTGAGGGAGAGAATCCGGCGCGAGCAGGCTTCAGATGAGTTCATTCAGGCGATAGATGCCAAAGTTCGAGCCGGAGGCGTAGAGGGTTATCACCGAGGCACAGATGGAGCCTTGGAGTTTCGCGGCAGGATTGTGGTGCCAAAAGTCGAGACGTTACGAAAGGAGATCTTGACAGAGGCTCATACCGCACCATATCTAGCCCATCCAGGAAGTACCAAGATGTATCATGACCTGAAAAGGTCGTTCTGGTGGAAAGGTTGTAAGAAAGACGTAGCCGATTTTGTCAGAAAGTGATTAACCTGTCAACAAGTCAAAGCCGAGCATCAGAGTCCTATAGGCCTTCTGCGACCACTGCCGATTCCGCGGTGGAAGTGGGAGCAGGTTTCGATGGATTTCGTCATAGGGTTGCCGAGGTCGTCTGAACTTCACGACGCTATTTGGGTCGTGGTGGACAGATTGACAAAAGTGGCTCATTTCTTGCCAGTATCGATGAGTATGTCTTTGGACAGGTTAGCTGAGATTTATACTCGCGGGATTATTCGACTCCACGGCGTGCCCGTTACTATTGTGTCAGACCGAGATCCCAGATTCACTAGCAGATTCTGGCAGAGTTTGCACAAGGCGATGGGTATGAGATTAGCATTCAGTTCGGCTTACCACCCAGAGGCTGACGGTCAGACAGAGAGGACTATTCAGACGCTTGAGGATTTGTTACGCGCTTTTGTTGTTGACAGGGGAGCTAAGTGGGAGTCGTTGTTGCCGTACGCCGAGTTTGTGTACAACAACAGTTATCATTCTGCTATTATGATGGCTCCTTACGAAGCACTTTACGGTCGTAAGTGTCGTTCCCCTCTCTATTGGGACGACATCGGCGAACGTCGAGTACTCGGTCCTAGGTTGATCGAGGAGACAGCGGAGCAGGTCGAGTTGATCCGGCGGAGACTTAAGACAGCTCATAGTCGAATGAAATCAACCGTTGATCATCATCGACGAGACATTCAGTTCGAGGTTGGCGAGCGAGCTTTTCTCAGAGTCAGTCCATTTCCCAGAGTTATTCGATTCGGGAAGAGAGGAAAGTTGCACCCTCGGTTCATAGGCCCGTTCGAAGTGCTAGAGTGAGTAAGCGACGTTGCGTATCGATTGGCCTTACCTCCCGTGTTATCCATTGTTCATAATGTTTTTCATGTGTCCATGTTGCGTAAGTACGTGTGCGACCCCGATCATGTTATTCCTCATACTGATATTCAGATCCATCCTGACTTATCTTACGAGGAGCGACCGGTAGCTGTGTTGGACCGACAGGTTCGACGGATCCGGAAGCGTGATATTCCCCTCGTTCGTATTCAGTGGGATCGCCACGGAGCCAATTGGGAGGAAGAGACTGACATTCGCGCTCGTTTTCCTGATTTTCAGTTTTGATGTATATATTTCATATTTCATGTATATATGTTTTGTTTTGTATTTCCGAGGACGGAAATATTTTAAGGGGGGCAGATTGTAATACCCCGTCATGTTATTAATGCGATATCATGTTTGGTTCCGGAATATTTATTTTATTAAGCGTGATTGTTCAGAACTATTTATTTCAGTCAACAATGTTCGAATTAATTTTCGAATATCAAATTCATGTTCGGAATAATTTTTGATAGTTAAATCATGTATAATCGCTCGATAATTAAGATTACTGAGCTTAAGTTCATTGATTAAGTGCTAGTTGTACTTAATTAAATCTAAGAAAAGCCATGTGCGCACGGCAATGTGCCATTGCACGGCTATCTCATTATCGCGCACGCTTGGCACTTTAAACATGCTCTTAGTGCGCACTTAGTACGGCTAAGCCACGCTTAGCACCTCTAATGACCGATTGTTTGGTCTCCCACAATTTTCACGTGCAAAGTGATCATTACTTGCACATA